AATGGCACGATCTCGGCTCACTGCAGCCTCTGCCTCCTGGGTTCAGGCAATTCTCCTGCCTCAGCCTCCTGAGTAGCTGGGATTACAGGCATGTGCCACTATGTCCAGCTAATTTTTTGTATTTTTAGTAGAGACGGGGTTTCACCATGTTGATCAGGATGGTCTCGATCTCTTGACCTCATGATCCACCCGCCTCGGCCTCCCAAAGTGCTGGGATTACAGGCATGAGCCACTGCGCCCGGCCCCCTGTCTTAAAAAAAATAAAAAAGGAAGGCTTCAAAAGTGAAGGCTGAGAAATCAAACCAAACCCTTAAAGCCACCTTTGATGCGTTCAAAAAGTAGAAGGCATCCATGCGTGATACAGTTCTTTTTCAAATTGGAAAGTGTAGAAAAGTGGAAAATTTCCCTTTTGCAGGGCAGTGGGGTGGGGACGCGGGCACTCCTGGGTGCTGTGGATTTGGGCAGCGGCTGACTTTCTCCTCTGCTACGAAAGGGAGGTCTTTCAGGGGAAGGCAGCCTTCGCTTCTTTGCTTGGGCTGTGTTTTATTCCTCTGAGTGAATTCTATTTTGAGCTGAGTCACAAGTCAAGAGTGAATACAAATCTGATTGACTCCGAGGACCCGAGGCTCAAATTGAGGGATGGGGCTTTCCCAAGTTGTAAGGGAAAATACCTCATTTTAGTTTTTTCTCCCATTTAACATAAACATTTACTTACGTTTTGCTTTCTAGCATCTCTTAATATTTCTCTTGCCTCACACTGTGTGGCTGTCCCAGCAACTGAGCGAGGCTGGAGGCGCAGGAGGACCAAGTTTGACAAATATCAATACATGATTCTTATAGAGGCCTTCAAAATAGACCCTTATCTTGGAATTACTGTCAGAGAAGAACTGGCCAGAAAAACACAGATTCCCGAGCCACGAATCCAGGTAAAGTGTAAATGTAGCTACTTGTGTTTCTCTAACTGGGAAGCGGGGCGGGGGCGGGAGGAGGGGGGGAGGCAGGGAGGACATGTATTGAGCGTCTGTTTTTCCACAGGCTTAAAAACCATTTTTGAGTTAATTTTCTCAATGTCTCTGAGAGGTATTATCCCCATTCACTGGACTGGGAAAATAAAGATAAGCAAGGTTTAGTGATTTAGATTACAATTCTGGCAAGGGTAGTGTCTAAATTGGTTTATGTGGGTTATAGCTGTCAAATAGTTGAAATGAAAAATTAAAGGTGCGAGATTAAAAATTAGAAATTAAAGCTGCCAAACTGGGCTGGGCACAGTGTCTTGTGCCTATAATCCCAGCACTTTGGGAGGCAAAGGTGAATGGATCACTTGAGCCCATAAGTTTGAGACCAGCTTGGGCAACATGGTGAAACCCTATCTTTACAAAAAAACACAAAAAATTATCTGGGTGTGGTGGCATGCACCTGTGCTCCCAGCTACTCAGGAGGCTGATGGGAGGATCATCTGAGCCCAAGAGGTTGAGGCCACAGTAAGCTGCGATTATGGCACTGTACTCCAGCCTGGGTGACACAGGGTGACCCTGTCTCAAAAAAAAAAAAAAAAAAAAAAAAAAAAAAAAAAAAAAAAAAAAAAAAAAAAAAACCCAAAAAACTGTAAAACTGAAAAATATTCACTAATACATTAAAAAATAAATAAATCTTTTACATAGTCACTTAAATAACATTTTTTTTTTTCAAGAAAAGCAACTGTATTGCAAAGCCAGAACATGTAGCAGGAGGAATGGCATCAGAAGACTAGCCAATAGAAAGTTCTCAGATGTTCGGAATTTCACCCCTGCCCTACCTCATGCAGCCTCTAGAGAAATCCACTGAGAGAATGGGGAGTGAAAAGGCAGAGGCAAATCACTGAGTGTGGTACAGACACAGCTGTATCCTTGCAGGAACCCCTGGAAGGGTGGGGATCCCTGGGGCTCCCAGGGCTCCTGTGGGATTTGGTCCTCTGGGTCTCAGCCTTGGAGCACACTGTAGTCATTCAGGGCCTCCAGTCTCTCCCCCAGGAGGTCTGAAGTGATCAGTCTGCTGCAGCCTGGGAATTCTCATCTACCTCCCCCCAGGTGATTGATGGGTACAGCCAGGTTTGAGAAACTTGACAGTAGCTGCCCAAAAGGAACTCTCTGAGTCTCTGAGAGTGGAGGCCGAGAACGCACACTCGCCAGGTGATTCTGATGTGTAGCTAGGACTAAACAGTGCCTGTTCTGGACCAAAGGTTTTCAGCCCTAGACTCCATCAGTGCCCCACCCCAAAGCCCTGGAATCAGAATCTTTGGGAGCCTGGCCCAGGCATGTCTAAGCGTTTCAGCTCCAGGTGACTCCAACACGCAGACGTCAGGCCCTACGTATGGGGCTCTTGGACGTGATTGCTTGTTGTCATCACGTGGAGAGCTTTACGATGGACTGAACTGTACAATGCATGTCCAATTTACTAGTCTAGGATTCAACCCCTGGGTCCAGGGAGTTCTGAAATTCCCCAGGCGGTCCACAGGTGAGGCAGAGTTGAATCATCCTCAGCTGTCTCACAGTGGAAGGGGGTGCCGCTCCCACCCCATCTTCTCTGCCTGCTATTGTGACAGCCCCTCCTCCAACCATCAGCCCCCATCTCCCCAGCCATCTTAGAGCCTCTCCCAGGCAGGCATTGTGTCTTATTCCCTTTTTTCTTCCTTCTTGCCTTTGGTAGGTGCTTGATAAAGATGATGCAATAATTCAGGACCTAATCAAGTAAGAATGAACATCCACTGAGGATTTGCTATGTGCAAAGCTCTCTATTAAGAATTTTATTTCAGGGCCAGGTGAGGTGGCTCCTGTCTGTAATCCCAGCACTTGGGTGGCTGAGGTGGGTGGATCATGAGTTCAAGAGATGGAGACCGTCCTGGTCACCATGGTGAAACCCCATCTCTACTAAAAATACAAAAATTATCTGGGCATGGTGGTGCATGCCTGTAGTCCCAGCTACTCGGGAGGCTGAGGCAGGAGAATTGCTTGAACCCAGGAGGCGGAGGTTGCAGTGAGCCGAGATCTCACCACTACACTCCAGCCTGGTGACAGAGCAAGATTCTGTCTCAAAAAAAATTTTTTTTATTTAAAAAAATCTATATATTCCAGGGATATTTAAAACACCACAACCCAGAGGGGAAAGGTTTGACCTCAATTAAGAACATGGTAGAGCAGGGTGAGGGTGGGGATGGGGTAGGGGCTTTCTTTCCTATGAATGTCTGCTGTTCCAACTTTACCAAGTGTTCGCTAGGAGACAGAAAAGCTGAGATAGCCCTAAGGGTTGGAAGCAAAGAGGATAACGGTCTTTTTTTTTTTTTTCATAAAGACAGGGTTTCACCATGTTGGTCAGGTTTGTCTTGAACTCCCGACTTCAGGTGATCCGCCCGCCTTGGCCTCCAAAGTGCTTGGATTACAGGTGTGAGCCACCATGCCTGGCCGAGGATGACAGTCTTACCTGCTGGCCTTAGGAAAATGCAGCTCTGGGGGAGGGAGGGAGCCGCCAGCTAGATCTTTATCACAGCATCCCACAGACTTTCCAGTCCTTCTGTCCTGGAAGCCCAAACGCCCCTACTAGGTACGTACAATTTCATGACCACTTTACAGACAAAGGAACTGGCTTCAAAAGTTCAGTAAATGGTTTGGGGTCATGGCTGGCTCTCCCTCATATTTCCCAGTACTGAAATGGGAAACCCCAACATTCTTCAGCTTAGATGTGACAATGCATGTCCCTTCAGATAATTTGACCCAGAGGGTCTGGCACAGTTACCTGCATAGGAAGATGGCTCTGTGCTTGCAAAGGCCCTTTTAAAAATATCTAAATAAAAAATGTTCTTTCTTTCCAAATCCTTAAAAGTTTCTGAAACAAAGGCCCTGAGGGAGGAAGGCAGGCTGGGTTTGGTGAGCGGCCAGCAGCTGGGCGGGCCTGAGGCTGGGTGTGTCCAGAGGTTAGGGGAATGCCAGGTTGAAGAATTGGGTCTTTGTCTTGGGGTTGTTTGTGTTGTCACTGCACTGCTCAGTCTGAGGCCTTGGAGCTGCCTGGAGGCTGGGACAGGTAAGTGGCCACCCTTGTGATCCTGGGGGCCTGGCTTAGCCCGCCCGTCCGGGGCCCATGACTCATCATTTTGGGTGATTTTGATGCCCTGCCCCAAAACTCAGGAGAAGGGACTGAATGTTTGGGAAAAGGAGAGGTGTGTTTTGTACACAGGATACATTTGCCTGAGGTAGAGTCAAAGAAACCCACAGGGATTGAAACTGAACTGATTCCTGGAATGGTGGCTCACGCCTGTAATCCAGCACTTTGGGAGGCAGAGGTGGGTAGATTACCCGAGGTCAGGAGTTCGAGATCAGTCTGGCCAACATGGTGAAACCTCATCTCTACTAAAAATACAAAAATTAGCCAGGCACGGTGGTGTATGCTTATAATCCCAGCTACTTGGGAGGCTGAGGCAGGAGAATCTCTTGAACCCAGGAGGTGGAGGTTGCAGTGAGCCAAGATGGTGCCACTGCACTCCAGCCTGGACAACAGAGCAACACTCTGTCTAAATAAAAAAGAAAGAAAAGAAACTGAACTAAGATTTGTGGTGGCAAGAGGCATTTACGCAGAGACGTGTGTTTTATGCATTGCTGTTGTGAACATGAGACCACCCCCATGAGAACAGGCAAAAGCCGTTTTTGTTTTGTTTTTTGAGACAGGGTCTTGCTCTGTGGCCCAGGCTAGAGTGCAGTGGAGCAATCTTGGCTCACTGCAACCTCAGCCTCCTGGGTTCAAGCGATTCTCCTGCCTCAGTCTCCCGAGTAGTTGGGATGACAGGCACCCCCCACCACGCCTGGCTAATTTTTGTATTTTTAGTAGAGATGGGTTTATCGCCGTGTTGGCAGGGCTGATCTTGAACTCCTGATCTCAAATGACCCACCTGCCTCAGCCTCCCAAAGTGCTGGGATTGCAGGTGTGAGCCACCCTGCAGGGCTGCAAAAGCTGTTTATTCAGATCTTGCTGCTGCAAGGGAGTCAGCCACTGCTTCCATTTGCAGAGATTTCCAGCAGGTCTAGGAGTGGGAATCTTCATCATGAGACAAGGGAAGCCCCAGGAAGGCTCTGAGGGAGGCTGTGGGCCTGGGGGAGCTGGGGTGGTTGACTAGAAGGAGACGTTCTATGGGATTGGGTAGAGCAGTGCATTTGGCTTTCCTTGGTTGGTCCTGGGTTGCAAGGAAGCGAAGGGGGTGTGTACATAAAAAGCAGGAGGGCAGTTGTGTAAGGAGGCTGCAGAGGCATGGGCCCGGGGCCAGTGTTGCAAGGGTCCTGGCCCGTGTGGTCCATTTGTATAGTCAGGCCCTGGGCATTTTCCCAGGGCTGAGCAGGCACACAGTATGTTTTTAATACGTATTTGATAATGATGAATGCATATATTTAAAAGGGGGAGTTACATGATGAATATATATATATATATATATATATTTTTTTTTTTTTTTTTTGCTCTGTACTCAGGCTGGAATGCAGTGGCAAGATCTCTGCTCACTGCAACCTCCACCTCCCGGGTTCAAGTGATTATCCCACCTTAGCCTCCCAAGAAGCTGGGACTACAGGTGTGCGCCAGCCCACCCAGCTATTTTTGTATTTTTAGTAGAGATGGGGTTTTCACCATGTTGGCCAGATGGTCTCGATCCCTTGACCTCATGATCCTCCCACCTTGTCCTCCCAAAGTGCTGGGATTATAGACACGAGCCACTGCTCCCGGCTGAATAAAAAATTTTTAAGAAGGCAAAGATCCTCACGGTTTTAAAAACAAAATCTGCTTGATAGGACAGAAGAGGTGTTTTTGAGAGGGGGCAGGGATAGCAAAGGTTAAACTGCACTTGGCAGGTAGAGGAGAGAAGAGAAGCGGTCCCAGGAAGATGTCTGCACAAAGGACACTCTCAGAGGGGCTGGGGAGCAGGACAGCAGTGAGGCTGCAAGGTGGGGGCTTTGGGGAGAGTTGACTGGAACGAAGGTGGCCCACACAGGTAACGGTTTGAATCAGCCTAGCCAAGGAGTTTGGGGGTACGCTAAGCTCCAGTTGTTTTATTTGGTAGGTGTTTAACGCTGGTTACATGCTACTTGGTGATAATTATGGGATTGAGCTTGATTAGAAAGTGCCTTTTTCCCCTCTCTCTCCTTCCCTTCCCATCTCTGTCTCTTTCTTGCCCTCCCAGGTTTGGTTTCAGAACCAGAGAGCTCGTGTACCGAAGGGAAGCCAGAGGAGGCCCAGCGTGGAGACAGCCTGGGCGCAGGCCGTGATGCCAGGCTCCGGTCAGCCTGGGCTACTGGCCCCCAACTACTCCTGCCAGCAGGGCTTCCCGGGGGTCCCGAGCAATGTGGACAGCTTCTGTTGGGAATTGGAGGTCGCTTCGGGCCAAGCTCGTCTCTGGGGGGACGCTGGTGTCCCGGGCGCGAATATGGCCCCTGCCGACCTGGAGGTGGCAGCCAGCGCGCAGGGCCAGCCCTACAGAGACGTCCCGTGCTGTCCGCCCTCGGGCTCAGCGCTGCTTCCAGGTCCCACTTGCCACCAGCCTTTCCCACAGCTGGAAGCTGGCAGTGCTGGGCCTCAAGTTCGTCCGGGGGCACCGGGCCTGCCCCCCGCGCTCGGGGCGGAGCAGCAGCCGAGCTGGGGCTGGCAGCCGGGGGAGGCGCCCGGGTGCGCCGGGACCTGGGAGGAGCCCTCTCCGCTGCAGCAGCTCTGGCCGCAGCCGCAGCCGTCGCAGGGCCCCGCGGAGCGCTAGGAACAGGCTGGTTCTCCTCCTCCTGAACCCTGCCCGCGCCGGAGGCCCAGCACCCCCGCCCCAGCGGCCGCTGCGGGGTCTGCACCTCTGGGGACTGCGCAGGAAACTAGTGGAAATGACCTCCCAGTGTCGAGCGATGGGAGGCAGATGAACTAACCTAGGGCTCATCGCGAGAGTTCACATATGAAAACTGAAGAGGAATATCACGATTTATATAACTGTTATGGAAAGGCTTCCGGACATACTTTTCAGGGAAATGAAGTTGTTAGGGTGGGAGGGCCTCGGGGTGCATGGGAGCTAGAGACTTGCCTTAGATGGGATAAAAAAGGATAGACTTGATAAATTCGTCGGTCCTCCCACTTACTAACCGAGTAAACACGGAGCACTTACAATGTACAAAGTCCACTAGAGAGAAGGGGTGCGGCAGGATGAGGTCGGCTTTGTAGAAATGTATTACATTGTATCAGTAAAGAGCAATGATTTCCACTCTGGCGGCATCTGCGTTTCGCTGATGCTGCGTCTTCTCGGCATGATGGTGACTTCTCCCGTCCTGGCGTTTGAGCTGCTCCCTGACCCATCTCCCCTTCTCCAGCTTTAACCAGACTTCTTTTCCCTGCGTCCAGCCAAATGGAGTTCTTTCTGGAGGTTGAGCCTGTCCCTGCCACAGGCCAGTTTCCTGAAACAGTCTGCTCCTTGCCATTCACCTTTCGGGGCCTAACAGCAAACTCCACAGTAAAATTTGAGAGTGGGGCCGGGTGCGGTGGCGCACGCCTGTAATCCCAGCACTTTGGGAGGCCGAGGTGGGCAGATCACGAGGTCAAGAGATCCAGACCATCCTGGCCAACATCGTGAAACCCCGTCTCTAGGAAAAAAACAAAAAAAAATTGAGAGTGAGTCTGAGTAGTAGAAAGATACATTTCTTCTGCCTAGGGGTTCACAGGGTCTGGCATATGGTGTTTCTCCCCTGTGCAATATTTGCCCAGCGGTGCTGAGAGGGAGATGGAAAGAGCGAGGTGGGGATGGAGGAAGGGGAGCACACCAGCACAGAGGTGATTCAGCAGGGAGGGCGGACACTGCTACCTCATGGTCCAGGAAATAAACACTCCTCTCATTTTTCGGGAGACCATGGCTTTCTGGTTACTGAATAAGGATCTGGTGTAAGTTAGAGATGAAATTAGGGAGATCAGTGGCCTGACACAGTCTAAAAACCAGAAGCCCAGCCCATTGCGCTTGTCCACAGAAATGCTTGTCACTACCACGTTGTTTTTTGTTTTTGTTTTTTTTGAGACCTAGTTTGCTCTGTCACCTAGGCTGGAGTGCAGTGGTGCGATCTTGGTTCACTGCAACCTCCACCTCCCTGGTTCAGTCCGATTCTCCTGCCTCAGCCTCCCGAGTAGCTGGGATTATAGGTGTCCGCCACCATGTCCAGCAAATTTTTTGTACTTTTAGTAGAGATGGGGTTTCACTGTGTTGTCCAGGCTGGTCTTGAATTCCCGACCTCGTGTGATTTGCCCACCTCAGCCTTTCAAAGTGCTGGGATTACAGGCGTAAGCCACTGCATTCAGCATTTTTTTTTTTTTTTTTTGAGACAATGTCTTGCTCTGTTGCCCAGTCTGGAGTGCAGTGTCGCAGTTTCCACTCACTGAAACCTCTGCCTCCCGAGTTCAAGGGATTCTCCTGCCTCAGCCTCCCAGGTAGCTGGGATTACAGGCAGGCGTGCCACCATGCCTGGCTAATTTTTGTATTTTTAGTAGAGATGGGGTTTTACCATGTTCCAGACTGGTCTTGAGCTCAAGTGATCCTCCTGCCTTGGCCTCCCAAAGTGCCGGGATTATAGGTATGAGCCACCATACTCCCATGTTTTATCAACCTCAGAAGTTAGGAAAGAGCTGACACATTTGGGAATTGAGCATGTAACTGACATGTAATTCACCAGTTCTCTCCATCTGTCTGATGCAGGGACTGGTCGGTTGGCTGGGGCTCCTGGCTGTCATGCTCTGGCCACCCAGCCTGAAGTCCAATACTGGGCCTACATCAGTGCTGCAGACTCTGATGCCGAAGGGCTCATGTGTTCATCAGTAGATGGGTTTGGAGTTGCGGCTCCTGCACACCCACGGCCACTTACCTTCCTAAAATGACAATCTAAGTTGAACGGGGTATAGGATTTCCCGCCAGACTGTGAGCTCCTGGAAGGCAGAGTCCCACAGTCCAGTGTACCATGATCACTGTCAGGGATCTGTTGAGTGAGGAGAGGCTGTGGATGTCCCGTTGCCAATGCCACAAGAAGGCATGAGAGCTGAGCTGCCTGGCAGTGGGAGTGGACAGCAGTCTGCCTGCTCTTCCACGGCCTTTGGGAACTTTAGCATTCCCCTGAAGCTCCCTTCACTTCCCAGGCTCTTTCTGAACCGAGACAGTGTCTGATCTGAGAAAGGCCCTTACAGGCTCTTCCTTCCCTCACAGAGCCTGGTTTCTGTACTACAAGACGGCCTGTGAGTGCCCAGTTCAGTCAAGCATAAAGAAATACATGAAATACATAACAGCATAAAGAAATACATGAAAAGAGAAAAGCATGAAAATAAAAAAAAAAAACAATAGGAAAGAGCCAGCTGTGCTGTTAATGGAGGGAAGATGGGACACAGAACTTGAAAGGCAAATGACAAGCTGGAAAAAAATTAGAACATTTACAATGGCAGATAAATTAGTAAGTTCGGATTTTTTTTTTGAGGCAGAGTTTCACTCTTGTTGCTCAGGCTGGAGTGCAGTGGCGCAATCTCGGCTCACTGCAACCTCCACCTCCCGGATTCAAGTGATTCTCCTGCCTCAGCCTCCCAAGTAGCTGGGATTACAGGCACCCGCCACCATGCCAGGCTAATTATTTTATTTTTAGTAGAGACAGGGTTTCACCATGTTGACTAGGCTGGTCTCAAACTCCTGCCCACAGGTGATCTGCCTGCCTCAGCCTCCCAAGGTGCTGAGATTACAGGCATGAGCCACCATGCCTGGCTAAGATAATGCTTTTTTTTTTTTTTTTTTTT